GAGAGAAAATTTCAATTTTCACTATGTTTTATTAGTAAATTTAGCCCCTGAGTCATTACTTTTGGTCGCCACTGTATATATATTTTTAAATAAAAATCATAGTTCTTTATTTTAGATTTTTGGATTTTTAAAAATTATTTTAATTTAAATATAAAATTAATTAATTTTTATTAATTATTAATTATTTAATTTATATACAATTAAAATAAAGTTAATAAAAATAATAGATTTTAATTTTATTTGAATTACAAATCAAAATAGTTGCTAATAAAATTAAAAATTTTTATCTATAATAAAAATATATATTTTATTAATTAAAATAATAGCCAAAGACAATGTATTAGAGAATCAAATTTTTAAAGAAAATTAAAATTTTTCTTTATATTAAACTTTATAATTTTGTTAATAAATTTTTTTTTATTTTTATATCAAATTAAAGTTCAAAATAGAAAAAAATTTATATTTAATTAATAAATTTGATTTTTTGATGCATTATATTTGGTCATTACCATATAATTAAGTAAAGAAACTCAGTACAATAATATACTAAATATTTTTAAAATAAATAGAAATTTTCTATATACAATTATAAATATATTTTGAATTATTAAACTATTATCCACAATAAATATATTATTATTAAGAATAAAAAACAATATATTATTATAAAGTAGAACGAATTATTAATATATTGAATTCAGAAGAGAAATTATAAATATATTTTGAATTATTAAACTAGTATCCACAATAAATATATTATTATTAAGAATAAAAAACAATATATTATTATAAAGAAAGAACGAATTATTTATATATTGAATTCAGAAGAGAAAAAAATAACAAATTTATTTAATAAATCAAGAATTATATTATTATAAAATATATCTTATTGTTTTATTATTTTGGAATAAAACTCATTTTGTGGTTTGAATTAAATATTATTTGAGTTGTGTTAATAATCATTTGAAGTCACTTTGTATTTGAATTATAATTATATTTTGTTAATAAACCTTTTATTATTTTTTTATGGTAGATGCCTTAGTTAAAGTAATAATTTTTTTAATACTGCACACTATAAGTATCTACCCTGCTGTTCAGCGATTTTTCTCATATCGATAATTAGTCGGAATGAGTGTAGTCATAAAGAGTGGCCATTGATGTTGACCATATAACTCGATTACTAAGAAATTCCATGTGTGTTTTATAAATTGGTATAATTAAGAAAGTTCATTCAATCAATTCAAAGCAAATAAAGATCTGAATTAATTCGAATTTTCATACAGTAAGAACAAATATTTCTCTTTCTACATGTATGAAAATTCATATCCTAATTTTCTTATCTATTTGGCATTTAATTTTTATAATAATTGACAAAGTTTATTCTGTTATTTATTTGCATTTAAGTTAAATATAACATTATATAATTTATTGTGAATACTAAACCTTAAATGCTAAACGTGAAAATTATGCCTCTTATTGTACAATAAGAATTTGAGCACTGCCCAACAAAGTATTGTTATTAAAAATGCTAAGGAATCGGTTATGAACATCCGTCGCGATACCCGGTCCATTTTTAAGAGTTAAATTAGGTTGAAGTGCGATATCTGAAATGTCCAATTGGATAGCAGAAGAGCCTCCCGGTGGCGCATTAACATTGAATTTTGGATTCAAAACCTTGATTACATTAGTTCTATTTTGATTGGCAGTAATTAAGAATTTGTAGACGGTAGTATTTTTACTATAGAGTCCGGAGTTGATCTGTCCGAGAAGACGAGTGGTTTGCTCTGGAAGTTGACTAAAAGTGAACTCGCCGAAAAGAGAAGTGTTCGACGTTCTATAACTTGCACGTGCTACATGTTGTGGCCAAGATGCTGTCGCTCCAATTGAAGAGGAAAACAAGCTAAAGATTAATGTAATGATTAAGAAGAGAGTTGTGTTTTTAGTCATTTTGAGGTTTGTCGTTTGTATCTATTATTCAGAGGTGAGTAAGGAAATTAATTTGTTGCAACGAGGACCATCTCTTTTATATTGAATTTTTTTATCTTTGACATTTTTAATAAATTAAGTCCTTTATTTGCCATCTTTACGCCAAGGCTACCGTTGTAAACAAACTTTCCACTTTAAGTATTTTGGTATTTGGTGGATTTTATCGTTACTTCGGGATGACATTGGACTGATTTGTTTATTCCTTTAATATATACTGTGCAGCCATCTAATTTACTTTCAAATGACCATAACATTACATTAAGTTTTGGTTGTTTGAATTATTTATTTTACTTTGGATTGACCACAACACAGTTGTATGATATCTATTGAATAAAGCTATTGAGAAAGGAACCAAAATAAAATTTCTTCGATATCTCTAAGTTATTAATAGATTTGATGATGTTCACTATAGCAGGAAATTCATTAGTTTAATCTTTTCGTTTTGCGAATAGAGAATAAAAGATATTTTTGTAATTGACTACAAGATATAGTTCACATCAACTCCCCCCATAAAATGAACTAATTTTGGGTAACTGTTCTACTACGATAATGTTCTGAAAAAGGTTCTTCACGGAATTGCTTTCCTGATAGCTTGGCTCTAATGGACGTAAATAAGATTGCGCCACAGATAAACCGGTGTGTGAATGATAATAGACATTGGCGTTTCTTGATTTTAATATGTTTTTATGACAGATGGTTAGAGACGAGAAGAAATAACTTTTGATTCATTTTTTGTTTATGTTAACAATTAAACAATGAATATATCTTAGTCTGAATAAAGAATATCGAGTGAAGTTTATTAAATTGCATGTACATCCTTCATTTATTGCAATTTTTTACATGTTGCAATTGACAATCAAAAATTCCATAGTTCTAACAGAAATTATTTTTTACATACTCGGCCATACATGTAATAAACTATAAATATTGATGCATGCACCTATAACGCCCCCATCAATATTTCCCCCCCCCCCCCCCATTTTACCTTCTTTAAACGAATCCTAGCATTAAAAAAACAGCATTGTTCAGACTGATAAATATGAATTAATATTAGCTATTTATTTATTTTTTTATTATCAATATCAATATACAGTAAGAGATCCTTTTTTATAAAAATATTCCTTCTTGCTTCTACGGTATCATAATAAGAAATAAAAAATGCAATACTTGTACGGCATTGTCAATAAAGGATATAGCAGAAATGTTCAATGCATTTACACAAACAATTTAAATCGTTTAGCCATAAAAATTTGTACAAAGTAATTAATACTCTTTCAGGATTCTTTAAATACAGCATAAATTACTGTATTTATTTGGTTTCCTTGTATTTTTGTCTATCTGCTTACAAACTTTCAAAAGTTCCAAATTTCATATCTTAAATTGATTCGAAAATTTTCTTTATTTTTTTTTATTTCACAACCTTAAACTCGTTTATGCTGATAGTATTTAAAAAGAACAGAGAATTCTCAATTTTACAGTTAAATTCTTTATATAACGAACCGGTGGTTCTACTAAAAAAGTTCGTTGCATAAAGATACTATATTTTCTAGAGACCGTTATGCTTTTCTATAACGAACTAATATCAAGAGTAGGTTCGTTATATACAGAGTTGATAGTAAAGTATAATCAAAATTATAATCTGTTACACCATTAACAAATTATATTTCGAATGCCAAACGCTTTATACATGTAATTCTTTAGAAAAAATGTTAATTGTTGTTGGTCATTTGTTCCGATTTCATTCGTGACGAGATAAATTTCATGTAAATAAATGTAAGTTTTATCACGCAGTATCGGTATACACAATCAATACAAAATAATTTTGTTGGTAAAAAATATTCTGTTAATGGTGACGGAAAATGTTACGAAGAGCTCTACCTCGCATCACAAATTCTTCGTTTACAGATATAACTTTAAGGCTCGATGGACATCAATGTTCGTTCCTAAACCAAATAATATATATATACCTAAATTACACTTCCAAAATCCGTTACCATCTATGCACTTCTGGGATACCAAATAAAGCATAACGAGAATTTTTTCTTTACATGAATTCCATGTAGATAGCAGTATCCGGGATTTTGCATTACTGCATCCTCCATCCGATGATTTCACGCACAATTAGAAAGTTTTTATTTCTGTGTCGTACCTTTTTTGTAGAAATACCCGACCGGTATTGATCGAATATATTATTGTGTTAAATGCTTTTTGCTGCTCGAATATGTAAAGATTGATGATAAAAGAATCCAGTAGAACATGCATAATCATAATTTTTCTGCGCAACAACTTATTTAAGTGTTTAGGGAGTTCTACTTTGTATGTTTAAAATAAAGTTAAGAAAACATTCTTGTAAGCGTTCTTATTATCTGCCAGGATTTGTAATCAAAAGGAATTCTTGTAAGAGATCTTTTAGCACATCTTTCTACAATCACGCCCTTCCCAGTTCCAATTAACAACCTCTTTAAAGTCACATTTTTTCTGGTCTTGAAGGTTTGATTATATAAAGGGATGACGTTGTTAACGTTAGTATGTAGGTGTCAACTTTGGCAGATTTAAGTTAATTTTCTTATCGTTATAGTTTTTTTTTCTAAAAAAATAATTACCGTATCTTATGATGTGGATACTATACTATGACCCGTGATATACGGTATTATGGGTATCAAATAAAATAAATTTATTCGATAATTAATAAAAGAATTTTATTTCAAAAGTAACAAAATCTATCTAAAATATAGCAAATAAATGCATATATGTGTATTTAGTCGTTTGGTTTAAATTCAAGAATGATCTATAAATTTTTCAATTAATAATTCACGTTATCAAATTGTACTATTTTTATAATTTAAAATTTGATCTTGCATTATAAATATATTTTAAGTTAATAAATTAGTAGTACTATCATCCACATCTGGCCATCCCCAATTATCAGTTTCATCGATATCGTCTTCGACATTAGCTAACTTCACCATATAATTATTATTATTATTAGCATTAGCATTACTGTTATTAATAACGTTATTACCATAAACGTAATCAATATTTTCAGATTCTTCTGAAAATCCAACATCATTATCGTCATCATTATCTTGGTAAAACACAACATTAAAATTTGCGTTATAATGATCATTCGATCCTTCAATATCCGCCGCCAAATATTCATTATCTTCGACATCTCCCTCACGATCGCTCTCACTCCAATCCTGCATCTCGACATCCTGATAATCGATTTCGTTATATTTACTGGGTGCATCGCGATCTGCTGCGTTTAAGAGACCACGCCATTGTTTGCGTGAAGCGGGTTTTGATTTTCGGCGCATTAGACGGTAGGATAATAGAAGGATTATGCTTACTGTGATTATTAGTAATAGGTATATCCATGTGCTGGTCGTGTCTTGATGTTGGGTCGATGAAAGTGTGGCATTGCTGTCGCTCAGAGATGTGTCTGAGGGAGATTCGAACAAGGTTTTGCTGTTTGCGCTTTCATTATTTGATGAGTCGATGATTTTATTTTCATCAACAATATCACTGTTTTCAGTTGTACTGTCAATATCATTTGGAGATTTTTCGTTGGTCGAATTTTCATTACTTGTTTTTTCACCATTATCTTGAGACTCATCTTCAGGTTTATCGTTTTTTGGTTCATCCAATTTTTTATTGCCACTATCTTTCTGCACTTCATCCTCATCGGTCTCTATACTATCAGGGGAGTTATCATTCTCACTCTCGTCAAGAGTATCGTCATCTTTGCTGGGGATTGTAGTTTCTTTTTCTTCGGGTTTAGTTTCCGTGACGTCAGAATTATCTGACATTTTTTGATGTATATAATTCTTAATTTATTTTAATGTACTATTTACGTATTTATCTCGAAGCTTTTTGAACTTGAATGATAATATATTCGAAATAACGAATAATATGTAAAAATTCGAAAAGTGGATACATGTAATATACACAAACAGCAACACACACAGCACCGCTTTTTATTTTACAGTATCTAATATGGATTTTGTAATACATTACCGTTACCATTAATACATGTAATAGTAATAGGCGGCACATGTGCTATGCAAATGCCTATCATTTCCTACAATGGTCGAAAAGAAGATCTTACTCCCCAAATTTTGACAATTATACGCTCCAATTCTTCGGATAAACTACAAATCTTGAATGTATAAGTTCTATTTTAAATAATAATATAAACAATTTCGTCGCTTGATAATTAGACATTGGTGATATGGTAATATCATAGTAAATTATCTTTTTGAACAATTTTTCATGTGATTTTCACGGAATAATAATAATATCATTTATAAGTAAAGAATATGCCAATTCTTGATGAATTGCAATTTGCAAATTTAAAATTCTACATTATATTCGAAAGGTAACTTTTTTTTGTCTTGTATTGAATTTTAATTGGCCAAATTTTTTTTAAATACGATTATTCATATATTTGCACAGAAAAATCATATTTATTAATTTAATCAATACATTTGGTTGTTAAACATTTTGTAAAAGCTATTTGAATTTCAATAGAAACCGAATAAATAAGAGCTTCTGCTTGAAATTCACTTTATATCCTATATACTTATAAATATGCTCATTCATAGTTAAGCGTGAATAATAAGTATCTCATCAAAAATAATTTTCATTTATTGGTTTTGCATTTCTTTTTTTTAAAGATCAAAAATACATCTTTCATACAAAATTAATTGATTAATTAAATAGAATTTCAAATCGAGTAAATTAATAATTCTATTTTATTACTTATGAAGTACAAATAATAGAGAGATATATATATATATAAACTTGTTGATTTCATACTGCATCTTTTTATCTTTTGTTTTTACCAACCAAACATTTACAAAACGTTCAATTAAGAGATTAAAATTTAGTTCAAATTTATTTTATCATAATTGTATGACAATATTTAATATAATTTCAGCAGATAATAATATTATAACAAATTTAACAAATTTCATTAAGTACATTCACTATTTCAAATGTTGCTTTTGAGAATAATTCAGATACATTTCAATTAAAAATTTATAATTAAAAATGACTTTTATTTTCTGACATTCATAAAAAATTACTTCACTTTTCTCATGCACTTTTGTCAATAATAGGCAGCTTTTCTCTCTTGCATGTGACAAATGAAAACAGTTTTTAATGACAAATATATTTTTGACAAGCTCCTATTTATCAGAAATTAACTTCACTTTTCTCATACACTTTTGTCAATTAATAGGCAGCTTTTCTCTCTTGCATGTGACAAATGGAATAGTTTTTAATGACAAATATATTTTTGACAAGCTCCTATTTATCAGAAATTAACTTATCAAAAATAACATAGTATTGAGAGAGAATACATGGTAAACGAAGGTTAAGATAAATGACAATCTTTTAAACTTCGACGGAAAAGATAACGACGACGATACCACGGGGTATTATGGCATCACCAAGCAACTAATTATGTGTGGTATTTTATTGATAACGATAAGCAAAAAATTTTTCGATAAAGTTGACACTGTGCAAACATTAACCGTAACGCTATATTTGGATGTTTTTGTTTATCATGCCTTGTTTTGCTTAATTTATTCAGCCGATACATGTAATAAGTAGTTTTAGTTCTGTACCATTCATTTATCGTTATCGTTCCATATTGCATGTATCCTTATCAGACACATAGTCATTATGAACGATAGATAGAAATGAGTATGATGATTAGACTTTATGTTCACGTACATGTATTACGTAAAAAATTATTACATGTATTTAATGAGATTTGATTTTTTCTGAGTTGGCTGCAAATTTTTAAATATGTTGGTTGTGCGAAGTTTCAATGGCGAATGCTGCATTGATAAAATAAAAATTTCACAAAACTGCTGATACGTAATAGAAATTACGTAAAAAAGACGAAACTAAAAACAGTAAAATCACAAACTAAAAGATGAACTGAACTCGTCAACCTAACGAAACTGCATTCAAAATATCCGCGAACAACCCAGCCGCCATCGGATATGCCTCGAAATTCGCCCGGATGCGTTGAAAACCTTCCGACTTTCGCACGTCATTAAAATTCCTCACCACGTAATCGAAAACTCCTTTTTTGACATCCGGCCATTTCCATGCTTGCGCGAATAAGAATTCGGCAGAATTTTCGGCCGTCAGACTACTGATTATTCGTTCCTTGGCGCGTTGACGAAGTTCCCCGATTAGATATTTATCGCTGATCTCAAGGATTGCGAGAGCTGTCCGCGCGGAGCTCTCTTGACTGCTGTCATCATCAAAGTTGACTTGATCGGTGTAGAGGAATCGAAGCATTTCTGCGAATGTCGCAGGGTGAAAATCTGGAATTTGGATCGTGCATTTGATTTGTGGGTTTATGGGCTGTATTTGTTGTTGTTGTTGTTGAAATATGACGAAACCATTATTGTTAATAGTATTCACAGTGGGATTGTCATTAGTAACATTATTATTGCTGATAGAATTAGATTCTGCCCATTTTGACCTCAAAAAATTTCGAAAATACTCTGATCGCTGACACAATATTGAACTGTTGGCATAGATAGCCTGCCCTTGAACCATAAATTGCACATCCGCTGTACTTGGTTTATTCAGCTCGGCAGCCCACGCGTCCACTAATGACGACGGGATCGGCTTTGTTGGAAAAGGATATTTCATTGATTTGCACGTGTCTTGCACATTATTAAATTGTACACCAATAATGAAACTTTCGGGTAATTCGGAGCGTGGGTGGGAGAACCCTGTGAATTTTTATTAGATATTGTGAAGCATATGAGTCATGGAGTTTTCCCGAATATTTTCTTTTTTTTTTGAATTTTTTAAGCATACCTAATGCTCTTAATTCTAATGAATATCTGTCCATTTGTATAGGTTGTGGTATAATTTTCCCGAATCTAAAAAATTTAGTTAAAAATCAAAATATCATTTCAATATTTTGGATAAAATTTTTAATCCCCAAACAAATGAAAAAATTTTTCTTCATCTAGTGATTTGAATTATTATATTACCCGATTAATGCATTTTCTTTGAAATATAAAGTACCAGTCAATTTATTTCTCTCATTCCACGCAGCTGGCAATTGCACTTCTTGCTCGTTGGGAATCGCTGCTAACGCTATTGTACAGTTGTCATGTGAATCTTGTGAATGCTGAGATTATTTTTGGAAATAGGAATTGTCCGATATATGTGTGTGTGTATATATATATATATATATCATATATACATATATATATATATATGATATTTTGAAATATGAAATTAAATCCAACTCGAATGAAATAAGAGCGATATTTAAAGCAATAGAAACATACAGCTCGGTAATGTAATTGCCAAAATCTTCCAGGAGAAGTGGCAAACGGTGGGCTCCATGTTTTTTTGCTAGAGTCTGATACACCGAATTCAAAAGTCAGAACGGTACTAGTTCTGGCAGTCATATTATTTGATATTAAAAATGAAGGACTATGAAAATCAATGATGATTAATTTTTTGATTGTGTATAAAAATAAAATTTTTGTTTTGATATCCAATTAATCGCTTTGTCTTTCAGTTACTTTTATTGTTAAGATCTTCAAGTTTATCGTTATGGGCATTGGTAACTAAAAACTTGAATCAAACTTTAAAAACCACACAATCTTTTTTGGTTTACTGTAATGGTCAAAAAAATATACTTTTGCGTAGGGAAAAAATATCGCTATCATGGAGTTGATGACATCTTTGTAGAATGGACAAAAAATGTACATATGCAATAGTGTGACTAATTTTCACTCGTTTTATTGTTACGTTTGTTATTATTACAAATCGTTATTGTTATCACCGCCGTTACTATATGTATCATAATTCAATTATAGTGTGAAACAATGCACACAGCCACGATTTTTTTGTGTATGATGATTTTTTTCTGAATACAGTACAGTAGTAATATATTATACATGTCATGTATTAACGATACAATAGATAAGATACACGCATTTATTACTTTCCTTTTGACACATTGAAGTGAATTGGAGTCATTATGGGATATTTATTTTATGAGAGTTTATATAAAATTCAAGATTACAGTAATACAGTAGCACAGAAGATTTTGTTAGTACCAAAATTATCACTTTAAGTGAAGGAACAAGATGCAGGTAAAGTATTCTTTTAATAAATAACCTTTAGCTATGGATGAATTTCACAAGCTTACGATGATAAGCATTAAATTACATATACAGTCACGTTCCAAAAGTTTGTGGAATGAATTTCTTAGTTCTCTGAAACATTCCACATTATGATATTTTTTTTAAAAGATACTTACGGTTTTCAGCTACAAACATGTGCAATCAAGATCTTATTTTATCATTATGTACCGTAATCATATCATAATTATATCATAAAAGTACATAAGATATAAATATATCAAATGCGTTAGCTGATTTTTTATTGTTTAATAATGAGAAAAATATGTAACTCACAGAATTTCAAAGTGGACAAATAGTTTGTTATGAAAATCCCCTTTAGATATTAAACATCTCAAAAGACGTGCGGTCTGGAGTTAACATTGAAAGTATGCTGAAAAAAATTAAGGTATGTATTCAAAATCAAGGAATTGGCCTATAAAGTGCTAATTATAAGATAGATTTGTTAGATGTAATACATTTCCAAAGTTTTAATAAAGTTCTGGAACCTTTAAGAGGTAACTGTGCGTGTATATATTATGTAATTATTGAAAGTTTAATATCTAGTTTTTAAGTTTGTAGAGTTTGTAATTGGTGAATTCAATCATTTGTTATCGTTCATTTGCTCGTGCGTTCTGAAAAAAAAATAGTTAGTACATAAAAGTCAATTTAGCAATTCAATTATATTCCAGTTTTTCCTAGAACAGGTTTTTTTTGTTTCTTTAAAGCCTCATTCTTTGTTTAATAAATATTAAGCCACAACAAAAAAAAATGCGTATGTAGTTGCACCATTTTACCTGACTTAATTGAATCTTATAGATTAAGAATTTATATTTAAAACTTCATATAGTTTTAAAGATATTGTCGTTTTTACTTTAATCGAATAAATTCGTACAAAAATAACAACGAAGAGTCGAAAAGTACATTTTGTATTTTTGTTTCCACAGTTAAATTTTTCTTTAAATAGGCGAGGTTTGAATATTTGTAATTAATATTTTTAACTGTAAAAATTTTTGTTCTTTAGTTTCCATTGTGAGAAAGATAGACAAGTACATGTACATATCGATATCATGTGCTTTCAATATCGTTATTTTATCGTTTAGCATCACATCATCGTCATCATTAACTTTATGCTAATAATAATAATGAGCTAAAAACAAGAGGTGAATAATTTTAAATTCTTTGATTTTTAATTTTCCGTTTTCAAATACAATATACATATAATTCATACTAAAATAAACTCAAAATATAAAAACAAATAAGAAATATGATAATAATTGTGTATTAAAATGTTCAAGTTTTAATAATTAATTAAGTGTTTACATAATTTTAAAATTGATATTTGTGTAAGTTTATTTGCTGCAATTATCTTCTTAAAAGTCTAAATTTTAAAGATTGGCCTCATAATTTAATTTTGGTTTGCGTATCAATTAGAAATAACTGAAGTAGATAAAAACATCTAACCCTAAATGTGCGGCATGAGCGTTCTTATAAATATAATATTGTAATATTGTAAAATTTTACAAATGGAATACAATATATCGATATTGTAAATGTTTTGTTGTATACGTTTAGATTTTATAAATCTTGATGAGTCTGCTGCTAGAAATAACGAGTAAAATCTATACTAATTTAAATAGCTTAAAATATCACTTACACTAACTTTTGAAAATTGAATGATAAACTTAGCGGAATTATATGTAATTTAGAAGAAGAATACAAAAATAATTTTACAAATATTGGATTATATTCATATAAATAAAAAAACTAGAATTATGTAAAATTTTCTATTATTATCGTATATCTATTTAATAATGATTATTATTATAAAAAAAATTATATAAATTAAATCACTTATAATTAAATACTTGATAAATTATAATTTTAAAAAAATATATGAATTAATAAAATTAAAAAATAATTATAAAAATACTTTCACCATTTATACTATATAAGAACAAATTACATATAAAAGTAATTTTTTTCTGAAACAAATATAATATAATTATAATTTTTTATATGAATCAATTTGTTTATATTTTGACTATAACTTTATATAGAGCGAATATAAGAATTTTTTATAAATAGTACTAGATTATAAAAAAATATTTTAAAAATTAATAAATATTATAAAGTGAAAATATTATTATAATAAAAAATTGTCATATTTGATAAAATAAACAAAAATATATTTATTTAATCAGATAAACTCATAATTAATCAACTTTATTATTAAAATATAGTAAAAATTGAATTTTCTCTCTATATTAAAGTTTATAATTTTATTAAAAAATTATTTATATTTTTATATTAAAATATCATTTATAATTTGTAATTAAATATATATATTTTTCAGATTTTTCAAACTTTTGCTCAAAAAGCTATTCTAATTGCAAAGTTATTACAAAAATTCTTTCTAATTAAAAATTTAATTAGATAATAACTTTGCAACTAGAATAATTCTTTCAAAATAAATCTGAAAAAAATATATATTAAATTATAACTTATAAACTTTATTTTGATATAAAATTTTTTTCTAATTAAAAATAAAATTTAATTAGAAAAAATTTTATAATAACTTTATAATTAGAATAATTCTTTCAAAAAAATCTGAAAAAATTATATATTAAATTATAACTTATAAGTATTATTTTAAATATAAAAATAAAAATTATTTTTTAATAGTATTATAAATTTTAATATAAAGAAAATATTCTAACTTTTGCAACTAGAATTCTTTAAAAAGTTTAAAAAATCTGAAAAAAATATATACTAAATTATAACTTATAAGCTTTATTTTAATATAAAAAAAATATTTTAATTTTGTTATCTTTTATTAAATAAATTAATTTTATAATTATAAAAATTATTATATTATAATCTTATATAAATAATGTATAATATAATACTGAAAAAAATTTTTTATTTTTATTTATTATTATGAAAATTTATTATATAAAAATATCAGTTATATCAATATTTTTTAATTAAAAATAATATTAATTTTATAATTTATATATAATAATAATTTATCACAATATATATAAAGTTTTTAATTTTATTAATTAATAAATACTTTTATTTTAATTTAAAATAAAATTAAAGTTATTTATTTTAATATATATTTTTTCAGTTTTTTTCTAGAAAATTACTTTAATTATATATAAATTATATAAATTAATTAATTTTTATATATTATATAATATTTCTTAAAAATTAAAAAAACATATTTTAAAAATAAATAATTTTAATTTTATTATAGATTAAAATAAATTTTTATAATATAATTAAAAAATTTTTTTTATTATAAATAAAATATATTTTATTAATTATATTTTAAATATATATTTAACTAATTATAATTAAATAAAAAATTTTAATATTTTTAATTATTATTATATATAATTAATATAAAATATTATAAATATTATTAAATCTTTTTATAATTATATTTTTTATAATTACTTATTTTAATTATTTTAATTATTAATTAAAAAATATTTATAATTATTAATTAAAAAATATTTATAATTATTTCTTTTTAAAATTATAATTATAATATATAATTTTACTTTTTTAAGTATTTTATTATAAAAATATTATATATATTATTAATTTTATATAAATAATTAATTATTATATAAAATTTTTAATTATTATATTATATAACTAATTATAAATAAATAAATTAATTAAAAATTTTATAACTTTAAACTTATAATAATTTATTATTATTTAATAAATATTAAATATTATTTATTAAAAAATTTATATTTAATATTATATTATATTAATTAAAATTTATAATTTTGATAATTAATATTTAATTTTTAAATAATAATAAATAAATATAATAATTAAAAAGACATAATAAAATAATTTATTAATTATAATTATTTATTTATTTTAATAAAATTAATTTAATAATTAAACTTTATATTAATTTTAAAAAAATTATAGCTAGTTATAATCTTAATAATTTTAAGTTATAATATTATAATAAATAAAATATTATTAATTATAATATTTATTATTAATTATCTTTTAATATTTTTAAATAAAATATATATTATATAGTTTAAAATATTCTAAATAAATTTAATTAATAATATAAAATATATTAATTTAATATAATTTTATAAAATTTAATATCAAATATAATAAATTAGATATTTATATAAATTAAATTAAATAAAGCTATTAAAAATATTATAATAAATAATTTTAAATATATTATATTTTAAAATATAAAGAATATATTTATAAACTTAAATTTAAAA